TCAGGAAGACTGTACCAGCTCCGTGGGAATGGCCTGTTGGTATTTTTCCATCTCAAGTTTCCATGTTGATGAGCAGAAGGAGCTGGATATGGGAAGAGGTTATTTTCCACCAACTGTGTGAGTCACTCTGTGTTGGCCTGTATCCCATAGTAAAAACGTGTTAGTAGAAAAGAGGTACGATGTACACTTGAATAGGGGTCAAAAGTCAGAGTATTCTAAGGGCCCCATGAGATTAAAGGAATAACCTTGTTTAATTTAAAAACTGCTTCTGTAGATCAAGATCCTGATGTAGTTAATGTCCCTAAATTCTGCTGGGGAATCCAGAGTTCCCAGCATTTACCGAGCATCAGAATCACCTGGGGTGTTTGTAAAAATTCAGCTGTCTGTAATCTATAGACAGAAAGTGGATTAGCGGTTGCCTGGGGCTGGGGTGGGAACGGGGAGTGACTGCGAATGTACAAGAATCTTTTTGGGGCGATAGAAATGTTCTAAAATTGGACTGTGATGACGGTTGCGCAACTCTGCAAACGTACTCAAAATCATTGAATTGTACACTTAAAATGAGTAAATATTGTGCCATGTAAACTAAACTTGAATAAAGCTGTTTTTTAAAAAAGCAAAGACTAGAAAGGGTAAACGATGAAAGTCATAGTACCATACCCGTTTAGTTGTAGAAAAAACATTCAGCATTACTATTTAGCTTTACAAATAAACATGTTAAAAGCACTCATAAATTTTTCAGTTTCTCATATAAATTCTTTGAATATCATACCCAGAAAAACAGCTGCGTAGGCCTCACCCGGATAAATTCTAATTCAAGTCCGAGGAAGGACTCAGTCTCTTTACTCTTTTCTTAGTCCCTCTGGGTTACTATTGGGAACAGCCAACCTGAGAGGATATAAAGCAGGAGAAGAAAACAGCAAGGCGTCTTATTTTATCTTTCTCCTAGTCTTAAAGAATCTCATCACAAATGAAAATTTTTGGCCAAAAAAGAACCAAAACAAAACTGGAATCGTGGAAAGGATAGTAATTTAGGTGTCATGGAACAAACAGGAAGTTTGAGATTTTCACGGAGAGAGTGAAATAACCAGGCTTGAAGCAATCACAGGGATGGAAAATCTATCTCGGCGTAAGTCTTCAGAAGCTGACACATCCCAAGGACGCTCCAGCAAAGTCTGAAGTTCAAATACTCTGTTCCACTGAGCCCACAAATCATTAAAATCTCTTAGGGGAGAGGAAGCGGGGAGGGGAGGCAGAAGAGAGAGGGAGCCTTGTCTTTCACCGTCTACCAACTTGTAATCTTGTGGATTTTGAGTTACATGGCCATGAGTCACATGGGTTTTGGATACATGAGTTAACTATTTTAATAATCCAGAAAGTATAATGCTTTGGCTTCCGAATTCCATCTCACGGAATTAGTTCTTACATTGAGAAGGAGTCCATTAATTTATGATTCAATAGCAGCGGGCCCAATCCTGATACAGCAGACAAGTAAATTAGGCAAAGATAGGTTATATTGCTTTTAGCCTTTTTTTTTTTTTTTAAAGATTTTATTATTTCCTTTTTCTCCCCAAAGCCCCCTGGTACATAGTTGTATATTCTTCGTTGTGGGTTCTTCTAGTTGTGGTATGTGGGACGCTGCCTCAGCGTGGTCTGATGAGCAGTGCCATGTCCGCGCCCAGGATTCGAACCAACGAAACACTGGGCCGCCTGCAGCGGAGCGCGCGAACTTAACCACTCGGCCACGGGGCCAGCCCCTACTTTTAGCCTTTTTTAAAGTTTTTATACAACTAGGGAGAGACTTGGAATTTGAACTCACACTCTCAGTATTTTACGAAAGCTCCCCAGGATGGTTGCTGTCAAGAATGAACGAGATGATAATATATGCAAGGGTTGAGTCCAGCATCTAGCACAGTCATCCTTATCTAGAATTGCTCCCCTCAAGATGCAAATGGGTCCATTCCTTAGAGAAATTCCAGAAGTCTGACTTCTAACCACCGCCAGTTCTCTCAGAGGAATGTCCTGGCTGGAGTCCACATCCACAGAATTACAGCTCATGTTCTGGTGCAAGCCCGATTCCAGTCTGATCTCTACCCTGGATTTCTTCTGGAAACACGCAATAGTGTTCAGACAAACCGCAACATCCTGGGCCTCTCGCTGCTGAGGCTGCCATTTTGCAGGAACAAGAACAGCTGAGCTCTGACAGATGGGAATGAGGAGGAAAAAGTGAATCCTGGCTCGGCTCGTGAAATCTCCATGCTCTGGAGAGCAAAATATCTGCTCTGGTACGAGAGCTAGGAAAACAATTTTCTTAAAAATAAACAGATCCCAGGAGATCAATGGTCTGGAAAAATTCCTCTGAGATTCTCTCATGTCCTGACTATAAACAGTAAGCAACTTTTCAGCTAATAATTGTAATTCATACCCGGTTCAAACATACATACACCTCAACTCGTACACGTCTCTGAAGAGTCACAGTGGTTCTGAAAATTAGGCAAAACGCACAAACATTTCACTACGGCAGCAAGAATACTGCCAGAACCTCCCACCAAGGGCCTCCACGCAAGCCCTGAGCCCCGTGGATTCATCCCAGACCCACTCGGCCCTCTCTCGATCCTACCAACCCCCAAAGAACCTTCCTTCTGAAAACATACTTCCTTCACACAGTTGTACAGAGGAGAATTTCCCTCTAAATTACGATTACAAAGAAATGAAATTTAAAAATACTCTTCATTGTTAGTTTGGGTATGCATTTTTTTCTTTGCTTTTCTTCTCAAATTTGCAGACTTAATTAGCTATCTTTTTTTTTTTAAGATTTTGTTAATGCTTTATGGTGAGGAAGATTGGCCCTGAGCTGACATCTATTGCCAATCTTCCTCTTTTTTTTAATTTTCTCCCAAAGCCCCAGTACATAGTTGTATATCCTAGTTGTAGGTCATTCTAGCTCTTCTAGGTGGGATGCCGCCACAGCACGGCTTAATGAGCCGTGTGTAGTTCTGCACCCAGGATCCAAACTGGTGAACCCCAGGCCGCTGAAGCAGAGCGTGTAAACTTAACTACTCGGTCCGGGGGCTGGCCCCTTAATTAGCTATCTAACGTTTAAAAGGATGGTGTCAAATAGTGTAAGGAGACAAAGGTTAATCAGACACAGAGCTGCCTTCAAAATCTCTTAGGATCTAACAGGAGAGATAAGTTTGCATAGAGAAAAAGTAAATATAAGGTGATAATGATAATAACAATGCTTAACAATTAAGCTCTTGCTTTGAGCCAGGCACTTCACACACACTAACACTTCCCGATGACCCCAGAGCTCATTATTACCCCTGTTTTGCAGATGTGCAAGCTGAGTCTTACAGAGCCTGGGTAATTTTTTCCAAGGTCGTAGTTAATAACTGAACTAGAATCAGTTCACCATACACACTGCCACCTACATGACATAAGGACGGTGTATGGTAGCTCATGCCATTCCTGAAGGTCAGAGACCATGACAATATTTTACCTTTTCAATTAGACCTGGATTGAGAATGTCAAACTCAGTGTTGGCAGTCAACACACAACAAAAGACCTGAGTCCACCACAGAACCAGGACACGCTCCGTCTTTGAGAGGAAACCACTGCTCACACGAGAGTCATTAACTAAACTGTTCTGGTGAGAGGAAAGCATGTTTTCCATCCCATTTACTCTTTGCTAAGGAACAACATTCTCTTATTCCACTTGTCAACTCATTTCTCTGCTCTCCTTCCAATCTCATTCCTAAATATTCCCACACAAGAAGCCCTCTTGGCCCCTCTCCTCACCATCACAGCGGTTAAATTAAGACTGCATATTCACTGACCACTTGGCATTCCCCTGACCTCAACATCACAACTTTCTGCAAGCCTGTCATTCTGATCCTGGTGCAATTTTTCAACGCATCTGTCTTGTTATCCAACTCGACATTAAGCCTTACAGGTATATTAGGATAAAGGCCAACAGCAGTGAATATTTAATATAAACTATTAGTCGAAATGAATACAGTAATTAAAAGTAGGTTATATTGAATTTTTCGTTATCATTTCAAAAAATAGAGTGCTATTTTAAAAATCAGAATTTGAGAAACACCTAAACTAAGCGGTCCTGCTAATGAACCAAAACGTCTCTGTCTTAAATCAAATTTAGAGTGCACATTTTTCATTATTTAATTTTACAAAGAATCTAACACATTGTTTAAATGTTTATGTTAATGTTAAATGTTCAATGTTTTAAAACAGATTTTTTGAAAACGATCAGTAATCCTTCACCCCTATAAAATGATTATTTTATATAAATTGCTACTTTTATCATCTTCGTATTTAACAAAGTTAACATATTTAACGTTATAGTGTACATACAATTGTGTCTTTTTTTTCCCCGTCACATGCTGAATTGTTTTTATAACCATATTTTACTAATCACGTCCATAGGGTTGAATATTTAGGATGACGGAATGTTTTTGCTACTACAAATGTTATTGAACAGGATCATACATAAACATTCCCGTTATTCTAGCTGTTTCACTAGGTTAGATTTCCAGAAGCAAGACTCCTGTGTCAAATGATTTCAACATTTTTAAATCTCCTGATAGAGCCTGGCTTTAAAAAACCAAAATTGTACCCGGGACTGTCTTTGTCATGTTGCCTTTTTTGTGTGTGTGTGGAAGATTAGCCCTGAGCTCACATCTGCTGCCAATCCTCCTCTTTTTGCTGAGGAAGACTGGCCCTGAGCTAACATCCGTGCCCATGTTCCTCTACTTTACATGTTGCATGCCTACCACAGCATGGCTTGCCAAGTGGTGCCATGTCCACACCTGGGATGCAAACCAGTGAACCCTGGGCCACCGAAGCAGAACGTGCACATTTAACTGCTGGGCCACCGAGCCAACCCCGTGTTGCCATCTTTCAGATTGCTGCAGACACTCAGGGCCTCTTTGGAAGAGGCGCCAGCACCCCAGATCTGAGCGTGCCCAGCCAGCACCACTCACCTTCGCCCCTCCCGCTGCCCTTCTGCCGGCTGTTGTGCAGTGGCAGCACCTCCAGCGACGCGAGGCCCGACCTCTCTAGAACGTTCACTTCCACCGTGAGCCTCCCCACCAGCTGCTGGGGGCGCACGCTGATGATGTGCTCATACTTCCCAAGCCGCCGCTGCAGGAGCTCTTCGTAACTGAGGAGGAACACGGCTTTGTCCTTGCTGGGAATCACTACTGAGGCCCTGAAGGTCTCTGTCCCCTTCTCCCTGGAGGAAGAGAAAAGGAACCCAGCGTTGGAGAAGGCCAGGTCCCCTCAGGTCCCCGGCCAGACTCTCGGTGAGAGTCCTTAGAAAGAAAACATGGAAGTCAGTGTTGAGAGGAGAAGGGAGGGCTGCACTAGAGGAAGGGTAGCAAGGGTCAAAGACGCCGGAGGGTAGAGCACTCAAAGACTAGTGACTGCTCCCTCTCCCGGAGTCAGCCTCGAGGGGCCGAGGGGCCGAGGGGAAAGGGGACCTTGAACTCGGTCAACTGCTGGAAACGAGCGCTTCAGGGTCAAGGCGTGAATTGATTCTCCTCTTTGCAGGGATGGTCAAATGAACCTGACATTTTACGTAACTGTAAAATAGCTAATATATTAAGATTTTACACCTTGGTAGGGCTTGGTCGATGCATTTGGGGGAAAAGTAAGGAATAAAAGATTGCCAAGCATACAGAAATACAAGCCATTCCAAATGCTTTCAGTACATGGAGTGAGGGTTCACTGATTCAAGATGGCAGATCGGCCATTAAAGGAATAAACCCAAGGAATAAGACTGGTAGGGGAACCATCAGTGTGTAGGACATTTCCAAACATTTCTGCAAGACTTGGGGGCTTCAGTAGGGCAAGAAGTCTATAGCTCAGACTATGAAGGAAGGGACTGGAGCAAAGGAGAATGCAGACTCGGAGAGAATGCGGGCCCTGGTTCAGCAGGACACCGCAGATGGGTGTGAGAAGGAGGACCAAACACCAGGAGGAGAACTCCAGGTCCATATGTGAATGAATGACTGAGACGATAGGATTCCTACACGCCTCTCCCCAGAGCTGAAAAGAGACACAAGTACTGAGATGGAAAGTTTCACTGAGAGGTGGACAGAATGAACAAAAGAAGACTGACACCTAAACCCATTATTGTAAAATGTCAGAACATCAGGTAGAGAAAACACATAAAATGAATAGTATTAGACCACATTAGATGCATCGTCAGTAATACTGGATGTTATAAGACCCTGGAGCAGTAGTTTCCAAGTATGGATGGTAAATTATTCTGCATCTTAAATTCCATACACAGTCAAAATATTAATCAAGGTCTCGGAAATTCTGCCTCTCACACACCCATTCTGAGGAAGTTACTTCAGAATATACTCCGGCAAAGTGAAGGTGAAAACCAAGAAAGTGGAAGATATGGAATACAAGACGTAATGAAACCAATCCAGAAGAAAATGAAAAGAATTCCCAGAGTAAACATTATGTGACAAGGCTGCAAAGCAATGACAGTATTCCATTGATCTGGAGACATCCATTCTTCCACGCTTAAGAGCTCTGAAATCAGAATGAGTCTCCCAGTCAGTGATGCTTTCCAATTGCTGTTGGCAATGACATGGATGTCATCACTTGCAGAAACTTGGGCATAGCTGTTCATTTAATCACCACTTCAAATGAGTTATGCGACTTGCTAGATGTTAATAGTGACAAAATAAAGTTTTACCTCATAAGGAAAAAAGAGACAATTAGAAACTCCAGGAAAAACAGAGAATATGTCACTTTTCTTCAAATGGGCTGGTAGAGAAGGAAACAGAATCTTAGCATACTAGGTGACTCTGCAGTTAATGTTATTTATGTAGTCATTAAAAAAGAAACGTTATTTATTGGTTTTCGAGGTTTCGATTCAGTTTATAGACAAAACAAAGAATACAAACATTGTGACATCAGAATTTAAATGTTGATAAGTCTGACAATGCAAAAGTAGATGATTAGGTAAGAACAGACAGGTACTGAGAATGGAAACGGAGAGGTGGAGGGAAATGAAGAAGAGGAAATACCATTTAAGATGGTAGGGCTTAGACGCAATCTAGGTGCCCATCAAGGGACAAATGGATGAAGAAGCTGTGGTATTTATACACAATGGAATACTATTCAGCCATAAGAAACAATGAAATCTGGCCATTTGTGACGACATGGATGGACCTTGAGGGTATTACGCTAAGTGAAATAAGTCAGAGGGAGAAAGTCAAATACCATATGATCTCACTCATAAGTAGAAGATAAAAACGATGACAAACAAACACACAGAAAAAAGATTGGATGGGTGGTTACCAGAGGGGAAGGGGGAGGAGGGCAAAAAGGGTGATTAGGCACATGAGTGTGGTGATGGATGGTCATTCGTCTTCAGGTGGTGAAAATGATGTAATCTACACAGAAATCGAAATCTATAACAATGTACACCTGAAATTTATATAATGTTATAAACCAGTTACCACAATAAAAAAATGGTAGGGCTAATCTAAGATGGTGTAACTGCTTAAATTGATGGAAGAAGAAGGAATGATAACATAAAAATTTGGAATACAGAGGGAAAGCGGGCGTGTTATAAATATGCTAACGCCTCTTTCTTCAGAGCAGAGAATCAACAGATAACGTCTGATTTTTATCAAGAAATTGTTAAAAAGCAAGACTATTGCCATATTTAGAGTGAGGGAGGGAACTACAAAATAACTACAGAAATATTAGAAGTGAATGTTTCTAGGAAGTGAGAACTGGGGGAATGGGAGTGGTAAATGTCCCTTTTATTATAAACCATATTTTATTATCTACTATGTTGTTAACCAGGCACATTTAGTTATTTATTATTACGATTAAAATAAAAAGGAGATAAATACTTAAAGGAAGGGAAGAGCACAAGATGGCTAGGCAAAGAGGTAGAAAATGCGACACTTGGCTGAAGTGCCTTTTTAATTTCTTCACTAAGCGGCACTTACCCATTATCTTCTGTGGTTTTATTCCTTTTCTCTTTTACCTTATCACCATTTTTCTTTGCCTTCTCTGTAATTTCTCCCTGATACACCTTGTCTCCAACAAGCCTGAAACACAAGCGACAGCTGTGTTACCAGCTCGCAGTTCCAAGACAAATTCAAACACAGATATCATAACCATGGCAACCCTAGAAAATATTTTTATTTGCCTCTTGGATATGCTGAAAGAATGCACTCCACAACAGGGCACTACCTTTGAGTCACTCATTTCATTCTAGCGCAATTTTCAACAGGTCCAAATGGTGAGACCCAACCCACGGTTCCTCTGTGATACTGCAGGAATAAATCCAAAGGTCTGCTCAAACAAACTTCCATGAGGATTCACCAACTTGAATCTTGCCCACACCCAAAATAAAACCCAAACACCGATTTTGCATATCTTTACCTCTTAGTTCAGAAGAAGAAAATATACTCTATCTAGTATATCCAAGCTTTCATGCTGTCTCATCTTTCAGCTCTCAACTTAAACACTGCCTCCTCTGAGCCGCCTCCCTGGTGTTCCTACCTAAATGAGCCTCTCTCAATCCTACTTGCCATCTTTATAGCATCCGCGACTGTCCGAAGTCATCTCGCTTACTGATTTGTTTACTTATTTAATGTTTCTCCCACTAGAATTTCTAGAGCAGATGAACACTGTCTTTGTCATAGAAGTAGACCAATCATGTGAAGAGTGCCTGGCCCAGAGGGGGTGCTCATTTGTTGGAGGCAACAAAGGGGCAACGGAAGGAAGGAGGGAAGGAGAGAAGAATGGAAGGAAAGAAGAGATAATGGACAGGAGGAAAGAAGGGAGGGAAGGAATCAACCTTCTGACCCATATACCATCCCCTGGGATATAAATTCTCAGAGCGAAAGGGCTGTGGACCACACATCATCTCAGGCTCACCCGGACCACCCCACACAGAAATCTTCATTCCAGGGTCTCTGACCAGTGTGTCACCTACATAGTGAAGTTGGTGATGAAAGCGGCGGCTGGAATCTGCATCTGAAACACAATTTCCTGGTCCTCAGACGCTCTGTTCAGCATTCTGCAGGAAACCGTAGTGAAGGCATAACGAGAAATAATGGTAGACTTCACTGAGAACTCTGTCATCAAGGGTTTGGCTTTCTGTTGGAAGTAAAACACACAGTATTTTCAGTGATGCAGGAAAGCACGATTCAGCCATCCTGGGGTAGGTGTGAGTCTTTTTTCCCATAACAGAAATGACCTTCAACTCGGGAGCCCTTGGCTCGTGATTCCTTTCTTCTTTCTTGGTCTTGTCCCGATTTTCCCACTTTTTACTCCCTCCACTTGTGAAACAACCATGGTTGAACAATCAGTTCATGACATAGAAGCAGATCCTTAACCCAACTTTAACAAATGGACACAGTGAAGATTTCCAATTTAACAAAAAATATACATTGCTTAAATAGCTTAGTAAATGGTTGGAATTTTAGAAGTAATGGATATAATACTTTTCTGTTATAAACTTTTAGATCACATTTATAAGACCACTGAATTGATCAAAACATCAGAGCACGTCTAAAGAAATTCTCCTATTTCCAAATTAATTTCAATATCCACTTAGAGACTATACTCTGGGGCTTTCCCATTTGGACAACAATCACATAACTGTAAAATGAGAATCAATACTGAGCTCAGGAAAGTTGTCTGGGGAATTAGAACTCAGAAAAAGTAAAATCTATACTAACCAAATTTACCCCAAAACCTTGGATAAGGGCAGTAGCTAGATGGCACAAAGTTAAAAGCGGGTTAAAACTATTCAGTGTTTTTTCTAGCCTTCACAACAGTGTTACATTAATGACAGCTGGTAACAGAAGCTGAAGAAGCAAGGAAACACTAATGAGGAAAGTCTCTGTTAACAGAATGATTCTCCGACTCCAGGAACTGGCTGAGAACTAAGATGCTACAGGGATGTTACAGACTGGATGTTTGTGTCCCCTAAAGGTCATATGTTGAACCCCTAACTGCAAATGTGGTGGCGTTTGGAGGTGGGGCCTCTAGAAGTGATTAGGGGTAGATGAGGTCATGAGGGTGGGGCCTTCCTGATGGGATTAGTGCCCTTATAAGAGGAGACACGAGAGAGCTCACTCTTGCTCTCCATGCATGTACGCAGAGAAAAGGCCATGTGAGCTAGAACACGGTCACCCGTGAGCCAGGAAGAGTCCTCACCAGAAAATGAACCCTGCTGGATCTTGATCTTAGAATTCCCAGCCTCCAGAACAGTGAGAAAGTAAATTTCTGTCTTGTAAGCCACACTGTCTGTAGTGTTCTGTGATGGCAGTCCTAGCTGACTAAGACAAGGCGTTATGCCATTAGTGTCTTGGGACAGACGTGAAGTAGATGCTTTTATTCCCATTTCATAGATGAAAGGAAGTCAGGTGTAGCAAGGTTCTTGGCCCAGGCCGGCATTAATGGAATGGGAACTCACTGCCGTTTGCTCCAAAGTCCACCCTCACCGCCATCAAGCTGGGCTGGCTGGCGGCTCTCTGTGGACATGCCTTCCTCATCTTGATGCACTCAAACCCAGCACAGTCTTTAGCACACAGCAGGCTCTCAACAAACGCTGAATGGAACCAGGTTAACCTTATAGGACTCTAGTGTCACCTGTTGGGATCGTCCTACTGTTGATGTTTTATTCAACCTTCATCTGCTTTTTAAGTTCTTTAGAGTTCTAAGATAGTTCTCAAAATAGATAGAAGGTGCTGGCCTGTTGATACCAAGGCTTATAGCTCCCGTGATAGACAAAGGTGATCTTGAACCTTTGGATTTAAGAGTTGTTCTAGTTAAACGTTTGAGTCGAATCATGCTCTTCCCAGCAACCAGAAGAAGTTGAAGAGATCTTTTATATGATGTATTAGAGACATGGGACCGAGACTCCTTCACAACAAAGCATTTCTGAGAACACATGCACCACTCACAAGAGAGTGGGCTGCGAAGAGCAGAGCCAAACACACAAGCAGGGCCAGAGAACGGCCGAGTGCTGGGCACAGAGGTCTGGGGATCATTCATAAGTGTGGCTGAACTTCCAGTCTCGGTGACTCGAAGGGATAAAAACAAATGTGAAAAGGTTTAGGAAAAATGTTAAGGGAATGTGTATCTTCCTTAGAATGTCTGAAAGAGACAAGCCTATCGAGTTAGTGAAGTGATGATCAAGTAGAAAAAAAATCTAAAGGTATTTGAAAGACCTTCACCTACAAGAGGAAAAAAAGTTCTCCAATTTGGTCTGAGAAGGAATCATTTCAGAGTAGTGGTTCTCAAAGTGTGGTCCCCGGACCAGCCCAGAAACTTGTTAGAAATGCAGAATCTCAGACTCCATTCCAGACTTACAGAATCAGAAACTCGGGATGGGGCCAGCAATCTACGTTCTAACAGGCCCTCCAACTGATTCTGATGTCCACTCAAGTTTAAGAACCACTGTTTCAAAGAAATATAATGAGGTAGCCCTCTTCGCGGACTTCCTCATCTATGAAATGAAAGGGCTTGAGTAAATCACTAAAATTACATCCACTTCTGAGATCCAAGCATCTAAGGCAAAGCCAAATATAAGGAGTAAAACCCTTGGGTTTTGGGGAATTATTCCTGAATTCAGAAATAAATGATTGGGAGAATATTCATTATGAAAATCTAGTCTCTTTAGGACAGAATCTGTCTCTCTCCCCAGGAGCGATATGGATTAAAAAGAGATTCCAGATGTGGTTTAACCAAAGGCTTCTGTTAAAGGATCTCATTAAAAACATTCAACATGTTTCAGTAAAGACAATGAGGATTAGGCTGGGGACAGTAATGATAATGATCTTAATAGCACAACAAAGTGTTGGAGTTTTTCCTAATTAAAACTGTATCTCATCATCTTTCAAAACAGGAACTCTAAGATGCATAAAAGCATGAATTGAGATGAAGTGTTTTACTTTGACTTACGTTATTTCTGGACATAGGTTTTCTCCCTAAAATTATCCATGCTTAAACCAATACTTATATCTCAAAATCTGAGCTGCTGGACGTCACATGGCTCACAGCTATACTTATGTGAATTTGTGAAAGTCTAAAATACAATTGCACACAACTCTAATGTCTACAGATGCATTGGGAAATAAAGAGGAATCGATGTTTTTAAAAAATCCTGTGAACCCAGAAAATGCTACCTATCACTCTCTGCTTTATTTAAAATTTACACTAGTTTTTAAAAAATCATCATACGCACATGGTAAAAACTTCAAATTACCCAGAATATAAAATAAAAAGTAAGAGTCTCCCTCCTATTGCCGACCCTCAGTTCCATTTGCCAGAGGGAACACATAACATTTTGCGGTATATCCTTCCATGAATACGTACTGTATTGATCTGCTTTCATTTCACCTAATGATACAGTGTGTTCATCTTTCTTTATCTGCGCATGTTCCAGTTATCTAGTGCTGCATAACGAATCACTCTAAAACTTAGTGGTTTAAAACAACAGTGATCATGGTATTTTTCTCTCATGAGGTTAGAAATTCTAGAAGAGCTTGGCTGGGGGACCTCACTCATTTGCAGTCAGAGGGCGCCTGCCACTGGAACAGTGGGTCGCTGAAGCTGCTCAGGGCCGGCTGGCATCTCTCTAGGTCATGTTGTCCCAGGGCCCCTCTGTGTGGTCCTTCCACATGGGCAAGTTCAGGCTAACTCACAGCATGGGCTAGCTCACACACCAGTCCATCGGCCTGATTCCGTGGTAGCTAGAGACTTCCCAAGGTCATATTTCCCCACAGAGAGGTGGAAGCCACAGCCCCTTTTATACCCAACCTTGAAAGTCACATAGCATCACTTCTACCATATTCTACTCATCCAGTCACAAAATCACACTCATTTTCAAAAGCAGAGCACACACACCCTGTGCCAATGGGAGGAGTGGAGTATCAAAGTGCCGCCATCTTTGGAAAATGCAATCTGCCTTTGTACCAACAGATCTAGCTCATTCTTTTTTTAACAGCTGCATAGTGTTTCTTTTCACAAATGAATTAACAAGTCCTCTATCATCCATCAACTCTTTATAATTATTTTTCATTATTTGAAACTCTCTTCAGATGCCCCTTGTTCTCCAATTCATCTATACAAGGGGTGGGCAAACTATGGTAGGTAGTTTTGTACATAGAGTTTTATTGGAACATAAATTCATTTACATATTGTCTGTGGCTACTTTCCTGCTACAACGCAGAGTAGTTGAGTAGTTATCTAATTGCAACAGAGGCTGTACGGACTGCAAAGCATAAAATATTTACTACCTGCTCTTTTAAGAAAAAGTTTGCTGATCCCCAGTCTACGCTATTTAAACAGATAAGGCCCTGAGATCAGTCATTCACATATCTTTACTGATTCCCATGTCACTGAAGAGATCCCAAATTAAACAGCCCACAGACATTTTTATTTGACTTGCACAATCTTTTTAAATTTTTCAAGTTTAGGTGACAACGTTTAAAAATTAGGAGAGTTCCATAAAAATCCATAATGCCCAGTTCTCTTGAAAAACAAAGTGGGCCGAATCTGGCTGCACATTCCCACATGACCATAGGCTGCTGGCACTAATGGTGGCTGTCACTGTCGATCAGACCCACGTCCCATACCTCCAGTGCCCCAGGCCCTCCCAAGTCCAGTTGTCTCACTGACATTAAGACTGAGAGTACGTAGCCATTTTCACTGGAATTTTTCTGATTCCCAGCCTATTCCATTCATTTCATTCCTGTTCTACTAGATTAAAAATGGCCACGATGTGTACACCTAAATTCATAGCAGCATTTTTCACAACAGCTGAAACATGGAAGCAACCCAAGTATCCACAGATGGATGAATGGATAAACAAAATATGGTCTATACATACAAGGGAATATTATTGTCTTAAAAGGGAAGGAAATTCTGACACATGCTCCCACATGGATAACTATGAGGACATTATGCTAAGTAAAATAAACTGATGACAAAAGGAAAAATACTCTATGATTCCACTTATATGAAATACCTAGAATAATCAAATTCATACAGATAGAAAGAGTGGTGGTTTCCAGGGTACGTGGGAGGGAGAAATGGAGAGTTATTGTTTAATGGGGATAGAATTTCAGTTTTGCAAGACAAACAGA